TATATATATATATATACACAAAATAGGATAGATATACAGCTTTCTCTTAATTCAGTGAGAACAAAGATTTGTGCTAATAGTATTTGGACAGGATATCATGTCTGCATCTTGTACTATGAATAACCACTAAGAAGATAACAATATGCATTGAATTAATTATTGAAACTGTCCTATTAATCAGTTTTGAAACTGTCTCATTGATATCTGTTTCTCAATAAAATGAATAAAGATAAATTTTAAAGTAAAACAATTGTTTTTAGATGTGGAAACTAAGTCTTCTAGCCACCAAGTGACCTTTTTAGAGGCAGTTTTCCAGAGATGGGAAGAAGCCTGCTTTCTTTTCACTGTCCCACATTGCTTCTTGTAGGCGCTGGTTCCAGAGTAGAGCATGGTTTGACACTGGGGGCTCACATGAAGAAAAGATCATTTTCTGCTCCTCAATGCTGTGAATTTAGCCCAAGTTTGTCTTCTTTTTCTGGGGAAAACAAAATTATGTAAACTATAATGAAATGATTTTGCTTTATGGAAGTATTTGTGACAGAGACATCTATTCATTCAAATGAAAAGCATGTTGGCCACAGTGGTACCTGCCTGTAACCCTAGCTCTCCAGTCAGAGTCAGGGTTCACCAAGAGTTCAGCGCCAGCCTAGACTACATAGAGACCCAGTCTCATAAGAAAAGAAAAGGAAAGAAAAGGAACTTTACTATGTAGAGAGGTAGTTGAAGTACACAGAGGGTCACTTGCAGCTTCTTGTTCAAGACCAAGCATGTTCCTGAATGCTGTGTGTCCCATCTTCATCTTTTGCCTCCCCCTCTTTTGCAGCGAGCCTCATAGGAGTGGAAGGTGGAAATGCCACACGAATTGGCAGGTTTGCCAACTACCTTCGGAACCTGCTCCCTTCCAATGACCCAGTTGTCATGGAAATGGCATCCAAGGCCATTGGACGTCTTGCCATGGCAGGGGACACTTTCACTGCTGAATATGTGGAATTTGAGGTGAAGCGAGCGCTGGAATGGCTGGGTGCTGACCGCAATGAAGGCCGGAGACATGCAGCTGTGAGTGCCAGCAGAGAGGCATAGAGCCAGGGCTAGGAGCCTCCCACGGCTTGTCCCTGTTAAAGGCTGCTTTGGTGGGCCAGGACTCTAGGCTGTGAGCTGGGATAGGTGTGTCTGTAAGCGAGAGGATTTCGGAGCAGGATAGTCAGGATTGGAAACGTCACTTGCAGCCGGATATGGTGATGCACACCTGCAATCCCAGCACTCAGAAGGTTGAGGCAGAATTACTGTGAGTTCCAGACTGTTCAGAGCTACATGGTGGGTTCACCACCAGCCTGAACTAATAGTGAGACCCTGTCCCAAACAGTTGACAGCAGAAGTGCCAGTTGGATGCTTCCCAGTCAGGGCTTCCTTCAGGAGGCAGCATTGTGAGGGCAAAAGCCTGCATGTGGACGCTGGTGTGAGTCTTGGCTTTACCACTTACAGCTCTGTAACTTGGCTATCTCTGGCTTTTAGTTTCTTCCTCTGTGACATGAAAATAGTAATGAGATTGAAAGTTAAGGGGCTAGCGAGATTGCTCACTTTAGAGATGACTCTCTAAAGTGTCTGCTTAGGTAGGTGCAGGGGACCAAGGTTCAATCCCCTGCACCATAAGCCATGCTGGCCCTGCCCTCAGGGCAGGCTGAGCCAGCAAAAAAAAAAAAAAAAGAAAGAAAGAAAAGAAAAACATGTCTATTCACTCAAGAAACATTTATAGAATATGTGCTATATTCTAGGCATGGTTCTAGGCTGCAGTATAGTGGTATAAAAAGCATCAGACAGGTCTGTCCTTCCAGAGCCGCTGTTCCAGCCTTAGCTGCTTTCTGCTTTATAAATAGCCTAGAATTGTGAGCACCCAGATGTGTGATGGGATTCACTTCTCCTCTGGCCCCAGGCTGTCTGAGCTAGACGGGCGAGGCTTCTTTCTTCCTCCAGTGTAGCTGCTGTAGGATGACAGGAATCTGCCCTCCTGGGAGGCCAAGCCTCATTCTCGTTGTGCCTATCTTTCACAGGTCCTGGTCCTCCGCGAGCTGGCCATCAGTGTCCCCACCTTCTTCTTCCAGCAAGTGCAACCCTTCTTTGACAACATTTTTGTGGCCGTGTGGGACCCCAAGCAGGCCATCCGAGAGGGAGCTGTGGCTGCTCTTCGCGCCTGTCTGATTCTCACCACCCAGCGGGAGCCGAAGGAGATGCAGAAGCCCCAGTGGTACCGGGTAAGGACCTGGCTCCCTCGCAGCTGCTAGCAGAGCACACTTAGCTGGAGAATCCCCTGGACTAAAGGGTGGCAACAGTCCCGGGCTCCACAGCCTTAGTGTCACGTTGGTTTTGGCCTTCAATAATTTTTTTGAGGGCCAGGGAGGTAGCTTAGTAGAATAAATGCCTGTCTGGCAAGCACGGGGTCCTGAGTCCAATCCCTAGTACTGCAAAAAAAAAAATGTATAATAATAATTTTTTTTGAATGTTCAGTATGAATCAGTAGTTCATTGCATTTGATTAAAGCAAAGATCTATTGATAATCATGTCATTATTTTATCACTAAGGATGAAAGCATGCCAGTTAATCTGAGCTAGTACCTTATTAACAAGTCAGAGGCGTTACCTTTCCAAGATGTTAGATCATGCAAAAATAGGTTTCTCAGAATCAGTGAAATATGGTTAGTGCTGATTTAGCATGCTGTATCCAGTGCTGATGGCTGCTTCCAGGGGAACTTAGGAGGGAAGCATCTGTCATACGGGGAGCCCTGAACACGGGCATGGAAGACCTGGGTTCCCTTCCTGCCACATGGTATTGGACAAGTCACTTAATTCTTTGAACCTGTCCTGTTTAGCTGTTCAGTAGAGATGGCAGTGAGACCTGCCTGAAGGGGTTGGCGTGAGAGCTATAGGTAAACCGAAGGAGAGAGCATAGTAGTATTGTTAGCACTGCCCAGGGGACCGTGCAGGCGCTGTAATATCTCAGAACCCCCGGTGTGGGCAGGGCCAGCCTGTGTGCTTTCTCACTTTGACCGCAGGTAATCAGGGTGCTCTGTCTCACCACAGCACACATTTGAAGAAGCGGAGAAAGGGTTTGATGAGACCTTGGCCAAAGAGAAGGGCATGAATCGGGACGATCGGATCCACGGCGCCTTGCTGATCCTCAATGAGCTTGTCCGAATCAGCAGCATGGAGGGAGAGGTGAGAGGCCTTGCAGGGGAGTCCAGGCCCTTGAGTGCCCTCTGAGCAAGCAAGGAGAGAGCCTGTCCCCTGGCGCTGGTACTGTGTAGGGAGAAACAGACAAGAAACGTGTAAAAAGGAGGCAGTGATTTCCCTGAAGGAAATAAGCAAAAGATAGGGGATACTTGGGGTAGGGGTGGGCAGGTGGAGAGTCAGGGCAGGACCCCTTAAGATGGCGCCACTTAGTAAGACCTGTATGACACAAAGAGGCTGTCTTGTGGCTGTGTGCTAGGCAGAGGCTTTGAGGTAAAAGAGACCTTCATGTGTTGGCTGGGCGTGGTGATGCACACCTGTAGTCTTAGCACTTGGGAGGCTGAGGCAGGATGATCATTGTGAGTTCAAGACCAGAGTGAGCTACCAAGTGAGGCCAGCCTGAACTGCATAGCGAGATCCTATCTCAAAAAGACAAAAAAAAAAAGCATGCCGTTGTACTGGAGAGAAGGAAAGTGTGGCTGGCAGCCAAGAAGGGGGGAAGAGGGTGAAATGAACAGGCCTCGTGGTTCCCAGTAAGCCCCTGTTTTTCCTCACTGCAGTCCAGGCACTAGAGCTGCACACATGGGAATGGTGTGGCATCGGCGTTCCTGTTAGCCATGGCTGCTGTGGGGACAGCATGTGGAGTGCTGGGGGTGGAAGCAAGAAGATGAGCTTAAAATTACATGGTTCTTACTAGGGAGATGGCCTCAAAGAAAAATGGGGGAATTGGGCATGCAGTGTGCATCTGACCCTGAGGGAACAAGAGAGGGCAGTGACACTGGGTGGCAGCATCCGCAGCATCCTCATCCCCTGTGCGAGGCCTCAGTGTGCTCCTCAAGCCAACATGGCCCTCAGAGAATAGCCGCCGGGCCTTTGGTCAGCCAGGCACCCTGTAATTAGAGGTGGCATTCTCACAGTTGCTACAGGAAGCCACAGCACTAGTCCAGTGGGCCCAGTAGTGGCTTTGTTAGGGTGGCAGTGCTGATTCGGAGAAGGCTGATTCAGGGCTCCACCTGAAGTTCCTTTTGCAAGACTTCTGTGAGGGCCTCTGGGGGTAGAATTTCACGCTGGATTTTCCACTTCTGCAATGACAGCAGTCATTGTACAGGCTATGCCCCAGAGATGTGGCAGTGTGCCTGGCAGGGAGAGGTGTTTGGCCCGCATCCTCCCTGCTCTGTCCCATGAGCACATGTGGCTCAGGCAGGTGACTATCCCTTCAGCCCCGTTTTCCCCATGTCCCACACTTTCCATGGGGCTCTCGCCCCCTTGTTGGGTTCTTTTTTTTTTGCAGTACTGGGGATTGAACTCAGGACCCTGCATTTGCCAGGCAAGTGCTTATTCTACTGAGCTGTCTCTCTGGCTCTGTCTTGTTGGATTCTTAAGGGTCTTTTAAGTGTGTCTGAAGGACTGGCTCAGCACTGTATGCCAGGGGATGTTCTGGAAGCTATAGTGCTCGGAGGTTTCTTGCCCGAGTCTGAAATGGTGCTTTCCACTGAAGCTGAGGCAGCTCTGTGATCTTTGTTTCATCCCAGTAAGACACGATGCTGTTGCCTAACACTTAAGCTTGTCAGGTTTAAGTGAAATAGTTCCTATCCAGGCGTTTCCTTCACCACTCAAGCGGAAGGATTATAACTTCATAACTTGCTCACTCATTCTGCAGGTGCCAACTGAGCACCTGGGATATACCCAGAACATTAGGTTCTGTAAGTTAGACTAATGTAGCACTGAACGAAGCAGACGACATTGTAGCAGCGGGTGACAAACCACAGTCAAATAACTGCAAACCTGTTGTGATGAATGATAGGGTGTAAGGTATGGTGAAGTCCAGCAGGGCAGAGGTGTAGAATGTGCAGCTGGGTATCGGAGCCCAGGCGTGACCGAGCTAGGCAGGAAGCCACACCAGCATCTGGGGAAGAGCGTTCTGTGGGCCTGATTCAGTGGGCACAGGGCCCTGCAGCCCAAGCACGCCAAGGCCTGTGGGAGCGGCAGGGGCACCCTGTGGGCGGGCAGAGCCAGCAGGAGACGGGGTCTGAGGAACACCTGCAGCGTGGCAGCTTGGGAAGCCACTGAATGGCACCTTGTGTGCGGCACAGCGGAAGCTCGTATAGGTTCCGAGCAGCGAAGTGACAGGTGGTGCATGTTGCTGAGGGGACGTTTGGGCTGCTGCGTTGAGAGTGGCTTGTTGGAGGGCGGAGGGCTGAACTCAGCAGTCCACTTAGGAGGGGCTGCAGCTTTCACAGCCCAGACCGTGGTGGGAGCGGGGCAAGTGAGGGAGCGACAGGGGCTGCATTTGGGATTTGCTGAGAGATTGGAAGTGGGTGGAGAGAAAGAAAAGTGAAGGCGTTTGGCCTGGATGCTAGAAGGATGCCGCTGCCTAGTGCTGGGAGAGGCAGGCTGAGATGGAGGGGGAGCAGGTTAGGAGGTGAGGATACGATTTGGTTTTAACATGTTAAGGGTGTTTTGGGCTTTTTTTTTTGAGACAGAATCTCTGCAGTTCAGGCTGGCCTTGAACTCACTTTGTAGCCCAGGCTAGCCTCACCCTTTCGGCAATCCTCCCGCCTCAGCCTCCCAAGGGCCAGGATTACTGGTGTACAGCACCACGCCGGCTGAACATGTTAAGTTTGAGCTGCTTGTTGGGCACATGAGTGGGATATTGAGGGAGTCAGAGTTAGGAGTCACTCGCATATGAATGTTATTTCAAGTCAAGAGACTGGATTAGAACCAGATCAACTAGTGTCGTCAGGGAGAAGATGGCTCTATGAGCCTGAGGTGAAGAGGAGCTGAGGGACCCTGGGAAGGAGCAGCCAGAGAGGCTGGGACAAGGAGCCTGTGAAAGAAAGGGTCCCAAAGGAGGGGGACATAACAGCTGGATTGAATGCTGTGATTGTGTCCCATGAAGTGAGGCCTGGCTACTTAGGATTTAGCAGCCTAAAAGCCAGTGGTGACGTTGGTAAGAACAGTAGATAAGACTTGGTGAAAAATGAAAATGTGTGTCAAGAGAAGTTTAGAAAACTGTCTCATGTTTTTTGCAGTTCGTGCTGTTGGAGATGAGTTAAGCAGTCCTTGGGAAAAGGGGTGATGCAGTTCTCTGCCAGTCGATTATCCTCCTCTGGACTAGGATTCTGAGAAAATTACTTACCTAGTTTTCTGCATAGGCTTCTGGGGACAGAAAGAGACCAGAGTATCCTTAATAGATAGTGGCATGGGGCTGCCATCCACCTGTGCCGTGATCTTAGGTCTGTGGCCACAGCGGTTTGCAAATCAGCCTTCCCAAACCTGGCGGAGAAATGACCCAGGGAGCTGCTGTCCCCATGTGGCTTCCTCGTTGTTCAGTCTGCGTTAGAACAAAACCAGGTCCCCCACAAGGCTGGGAACAGCAGACCTCGAGGTGAAGAGCAGTCGCCCTCCACTCTGGCAGAGTTACACAGGACTGGGCAAAGTAGAGCTCTGTAGACTCCACAGTGCCCTGGTCAATTGCCACCCGTAGATAAGACTGATTTTTTTCTTCTCTCGTAGCGTCTGAGGGAAGAGATGGAAGAAATCACGCAGCAGCAGCTGGTGCACGACAAGTACTGCAAAGATCTCATGGGCTTTGGGACGAAACCTCGCCACATTACCCCCTTCACCAGTTTCCAGGCCGTGCAGCCCCAGCAGTCCAACGCCTTGGTAGGGCTGCTGGGCTACAGCTCTCACCAGAGCCTCATGGGGTTTGGGGCATCCCCCAGCCCCGCCAAGCCCACCCTGGTGGAGAGCCGTTGTTGCAGAGACCTGATGGAGGAGAAGTTTGACCAGGTGAATACCAGAGGCCCGCCTCCCCCAGGCACCTCACTTCACTTCCTCTGCCAACCCTTTATCCTTCCTCTCTCAGGTGTGCCAGTGGGTGCTGAAATGCAGGAATAGCAAGAACTCGCTGATCCAAATGACAATCCTTAATTTGTTGCCCCGCTTGGCTGCATTCCGACCTTCTGCCTTCACAGGTGAGGATGTCCGTGGGAGACATCATTACTGTCTGAGAAAAATCAAACGGGAGAGGTGATTCCAGAACACACTCTTCACACTGCAAGGATTACTGATGCAGGGACTAGTCTGGTTTCTTTGCAGTGTGCCTAGTGTTCAGTTAATGTCTGAGGCAGCAGACAGAGGAACACTAAGAACAGGAAGGGAGGAAGGCAGGTCTAGCCCAAGCAAGCGCTCTCTGTGGAAGTCAGCAGGTACATGAATGGAGACCGGAGGAAGGAAGGTGGTTTCAGGCAGAGGCTGTGCAGCAGCAGCCTACAGGGGCAGTGACGTCCTGCTTCTGACTGGTCGCTGAGCTGCCTTGCCACACATATGAAGGGAGGACTGGGTGTTTCAGAGGTAGCTTCGGCTGTGGATTCCCATATCCTCACCCTGGCCTCTAGGCAGTGGGAATTCCTGGCTGTGGAATCTGGCCCAGCCCAGATACCTGTGCTTCCCCAACCATCCCCGCGTTTCTCCAGCTGCAGTATTCTTTGTGGTATTCCGCTATAGAAGGGCTTTGGCATCAGATCTAGGGTGAATCCTTCCTTAGTTCCTAAGTGAGGTTTTGAACAGGTTGTGTGTCATCCACTTGGTGACTTGTAAAATTCGAATAACAACCCCTGCCTCCTAAGATGCGTGGCATGAGTGCCTGAGTTCCTGCTGCAGTGTCTGGCAGAGTGAGCTCTAATAAGTGGAAACCGTTCTTGTATTATTAATGCCTCCTTGAGCTTCTTCAAGCCCATTTTGGAAATGAGGCAGAGACACACATTATACTGCAATTGTCTGTTCATATTTAATGTCCTCTTCCCTCTTGGTGAGTGTGAGACCCCATCTCAAGCATCTTTGTGTTTCACTGCGGCGCTTAATAAGCACCCAGGACCCAACAAGAAGCAGGAACCCGAGCGGAAGGCCAGCCCGACCCTCAGCAGCTGCCATTCCCTGGCTCTGATTCATTTCACACCACGCAGCCCAGATGAGGCTGTGGGAGAAGCCTCGCTGGTGAGGTGTTAAACAGGCTGTGTGTAAGGAGTAGAGCATGTTAGCGTTTGACAAGGACAAGACAGCTAGTCACAAAGTCACTGAACAAGAGGGAGCTGACAGAACGGAAAGCACCTGTAGTCTTGCAGTTTTCCATTCTTCCCGGCTGTACCCAGCACCTCTTAATGACCAGACATGCCCCTGCTTAGTAGAGCTTTAAAGGATGACAGGTTGAAAGTCTGTGGTTCAAAAGGAACTCATAACTGGGCCAAATTGGATCAAAATGTGGCACATTGTAGAAGCAGTTACTGTGATCCATTCGAAAGGCTGCGTAGCAGCAGGGTACAGAGAGGGTCCCTGGGTCTGTCCTTCTGATGTGGGTTTGTTGTTTTCTTAAATAATATGTCAGTGAAATTTAGTCTGCGGTCCCCTCCCAGTTTTCATTACCCAAGTGCTATTTGTGTAAAGCCTTCAGTGCAAAGCCAGTGCCTGAACTTGCTGGTGATACAACCTTTTGAATACCAAAAATGCCTCAAGACCAGGTTGGAATCTCTTCAATGTCAGATTCCTGCCTCCTACTTAGGATGCAAAATCTGGAAAAGGGAATTGTACTCTCGCTTCAAGCTCTTCCTGCAGAAATGCAACCCCCATATGTGAAGAAGTCATTTGTCTTGTTGGATCAACATGACTTTACAGTTGTGCCCCCTCGGCCTTCTGTTTCCGAGCTGCTGCCTGTGCCTTGCCGCCAGCACGTAGAGCCGTGAGGGCAGACATGTCTCATGGGAATGTGCCAGCTGGGAGTCTGGCTCACTGTCCGCATGTGGTTCTCGTAGCCCTGAATATCTGTGCTTCCCTCGTGAACATGTGACTGTGGCTCCTCCGCTGTCACATAAGTGTTCCTAGGCTGGGACTCGGGGCTGGCATGGGTGGGTGAGAAGAAACAGAGAGACCCGAGAATTGGGAAGTCCCAGCCTTCAGAGGAGGAATACTTCCGATTCGGTTGCCCAGGGATTGCCTACCCTTGCATGTTGGCTTGGTGTATGTAAACTTAGTAAAAGTACACATGTGGCTTTCCAGATTGCAGACTAAGTCTTATTCTATTTAGTGTAACTATAGCCAAACCTCTAGAATAGCTAAGTGATTTTCTGACCAAAGCTGACTAGAATGGCCTAGGTGCAAATAGTATTTCATGTTCCTCCAAACTTCATATAATGCAAAATCAAAATTACTCAGATGGTATCTCTGTTTTTAAATAAAGTTTAACATTTTTAGCCCACTTTCTCTTCTTTCAGAGTACTGGGGACTGAACCAGTACTGCCACTGAGCTACAACCCTAGCCTTTTTTCGGTTTTGAGATGGGGGTCTTGATAAATTGCCCAGGCCTGCCTTGAACTTGTGACCTTTCTGCTTCAGCCTCCCAAGTAACTGGGATTAGAGACATGTGCCACTACACCTGACTAAACATATATTTTGTGTATTTCTAAACAAAAGTAGGGGAGATGGCTCAGTGGAATAAGCGCTTCCCTGGCAAGCACAAGGGCCTGAGTTCAATCTCCAGTTCCGTCTAAACAAAAGTAATCTTTTCCTCAGAAGTAACCCTAATGGGAACAATTATGTGATATTTGTTTGGAGGCCTTGTAAGTTTGGGAGTATCTTCAAGGGAAGAACATCTCATATTTCTAACATTTCCAAAAGATCTATTCTGAGTGACTGAGTGATCATCTATTATAAGACACCCTTTAAAGTACATCCTCTGAATTCTTGACATCTTTCCCAAGAGGCTCCCACACCCCTTCTTTTTCTTCTTTCTTCTTTCCTCTTCACTCTTCAGCAGTACTACAGATTGAACCCAGAGGCACTCTACCTCTGAGCTACATCCCCAGCCCTTTTTCTATTGAAACAGGGTCTTGCTAAGTTGCCTAGGCTGGCCTCAATCTTGTAGTTTTCCTGCCTCAGCCCTTTGAGTAGCTGGGATTACAGGCACGCATGCCGCACCTGGCTAGTGCATTCTTACATTGTGTGTTCTGTGAGATCTCTGATCTTGAGCCATCTACTCTGTCTTTTTAGATACCCAGTACCTTCAAGACACCATGAACCACGTCCTGAGCTGCGTCAAGAAGGAGAAGGAACGAACAGCAGCCTTCCAAGCTCTGGGACTACTTTCTGTGGCTGTGAGGTCAGAGTTTAAGGTCTACCTGCCTCGTGTGCTGGACATCATTCGAGCAGCCCTGCCCCCTAAGGACTTTGCCCACAAGTGAGTGTCTCTGTCAGAACTTCTCCTTCCACTCCGTTAGTTTGGAGAGCAAGGGTGCTCTCGCCCCATTCTATGAAGCTAAGCCCATCCCCTGCTTCCTTACACTTCCGGTGTAGCAGACCGTTAAAGAGCAGCACTTCCTCTGTTGATTTCTAGCCTCTTCCCAGTGAAATGACATAGTGTAAATGTTGGAGGAAGCTGCATACCTGAGAACCTGTCAGATGCCAGTGTTGTTTCCCACATTAATACATATGGGGACTCTTCAGACATTGAGATGTCTGCTTTCGATGGGACTAAAGCAAGGAATCATTGGCTGAAACTGAAGGAACCTTACAGAGTATCCTGATCGTTAAAGTTGAAGTTATTCCATCTCTTGATCCTCCCAATGAATAAAACAGGAGAAAATTTTCGGCACCTGGCTAGACTAAGAAGCCAATGTGTCTTGGTTCAGGCTCAGAAGTCAGTGTTAATAGAATTGTGTGTATATTTCCCTATTTTATTTGCAAGGACTGCTTTGCTGAATTAATAAGCTCCACCTGTTCTAAAGCCGAGTGTTCCCATCAGAGAAAAATTTTCTTTGCTTATGATGGCTGTTCGTTGCCCTCTCATCCCTGATGAACACATTGATCAGTTTGCATCCTAAATAGGTACCTTGGTCAGAACTGTACTATTTCTTATATACTGCCCCTGTCTGAATTCAGAAAGGGACCATTGGCCAAGACCGTTGAGACACACTACTGCCATCTGCTGGACAGTCATTATAAACATTCACATCTGCAGTAATTGTGCAGTCAGTTACCTCTCCTCCCGCAAGTTCTGGCCCTGCCTGAGCAACCTGCCTTCTTTCCCCCAGGTGTTCTTGAGGTAGCACCACAGAATGTTGCTGTGTCTAAACTAGCCACTCTTTCTGTGCAGGAGGCAGAAGGCAATGCAGGTGGACGCCACAGTGTTCACGTGCATCAGCATGTTGGCGCGAGCAATGGGGCCGGGCATCCAGCAGGACATCAAGGAGCTGCTGGAGCCCATGCTGGCGGTGGGCCTGAGGTGGGTACCAGCAAGCTGAGCCTGCCCTGACTCAGCGCAGTCAGCCCACAGTGGCGTGACTACCTTGGAAGAGTGAGGTATGGTTGCTTGCATGCTGACTTCGATAGACCAGAGAGCTCAGACCAAACACACAGGCTAGTTTTAAATCCCAGTTTCGTCACTAGCTAGCTCTGCAGTTTTGATTAAGGTATTTCTTTGAGCCTCAGTTTGTCATCTCAAAAGTGGGCACAATAGAAAATCCTGTTTTTTGGAGTTGCTGTAGGGATTAAATGAAAGTTCATGAAACAGCTGTTTGTAGCTTATCCTTAGGAAGTACTCAATAAATGTTTGTAGCTGTAGTTTTTTTTCTTGTATTTTAGGACAGGGTCTATAGGGTCTCCGTAGATCTTATAGTGATCCACCTGTGTTCAGCCTCCCAAAAGCTGGGATTACAGGCAGATGCCACCATGCCCAGTCTCATTCGCCATCTCAGCACACCCCCAGGGCGGGGCCAGCACGGCACATCAGGGATCGAACTCTGGCCACTGCATCTGCCTAAACAGGCGCTTTAATCTGCTGAGCTATTTGGCTAGCCTTTGTAGCTGTATTTTTTTATATATTTGGCACAGGATCTCACTATGCAGCTGGGACTCATAGTGATCCTCCTGTTTTCAGCCTCCCCAGCACTGGGATTACAGGCATGTGCCACCACACCAGGGCTTGGTGGCCATCTCTGTGTGCCTTGGGATGGGACTGGCATGGCATGTGGTGCCTGGCATCGAACCCCAACCCCTGTGCTTGCTGAAACGTACTTAGTCCACTGAGCTATCATGCCAGCCCTTGTAGCTGTAGTTTTCATTGCTTTAGTTCTTCATCTATGAAACAAAGATGATGCTCATGATCATTTTTTCACATTGTTTATGGAGACTGCCTTCTCTAGTGCTGAATTATATCAACAAGTTCTCTTGTGGTGAAGACCAGACACTCACAGGTTGCCCTGAAGTCTGAGAGCAGGCCAGGAGAGCTCAGCACAGGACTCCTTTGTAGTACCTTTTCTTCTGTAGAGACCAGGCGGAGGTGGGGCTTGACCCTTTTGCTGGGCAGGAAGGGCTGTTTCTTCCCACACACAGCAAGGGGAGCTGCCCTATCCCACATGTGACCCCTCTCCTTCCCCTCAGCCCTGCCCTCACTGCTGTGCTGTATGACCTGAGCCGCCAGATCCCCCAGCTGAAAAAGGACATCCAGGATGGGCTGCTGAAGATGCTGTCCCTGGTGCTTATGCACAAACCCCTCCGGCACCCTGGCATGCCCAAGGGCCTGGCCCACCAGCTGGCCTCCCCTGGTCTTGCTGCTCTACCTGAGGCCAGTGATGTGGGCAGCATCACTCTTGCCCTCCGAACTCTTGGCAGCTTTGAATTTGAAGGTAAGAGATTATAACAGCTCTTGGCAAGATAGTGATACCGGGCATCTGAGAAAAGGGAAGAGGGGACCTAGAATTCCTGGATCTCCCCAGTACTCTCCAGACACACACCAATTCTGTAGTCGCCCTCCTTCCCACCCTCTTTCCATATGTTGTGAATGCCTGCTGTTTGCTTCTCTGTTCACTACTGAGTTTGGGGGTGGGCGGTACTCAGGGAAAGTGTGCATCTATCTCAGGAAACTTCTTCAGAGATGGGAAAGTTAGGGGACCACCGTGCTTCCCACTGCCCTGATATTTAATGCTTTAAAATGCATAAGCCAGGACTTTGGAGTGTTTTCATTCCCAGGGTGGTGTGATGTCCAGGAGTGCTGTATAGTGTGGTTCAGTTTGGAGTTTTGGTTTGTTTGTTTTTTTTTTTTTTTTTGCGTAACTGGGGATTGAACTCAGGCCCTTGTGCTTGCCAGAGGAGCACTTATTCCACTGAGCCATCTCCCCGGCCCCTCAGTTTGGAGTTTAAACTGCAGATAAAACCATGTCAATATACGAGGAGATCTATTTCAGGAGGAAAAATGGATATTTTTGAAATTTAATGTGTGCAGGTAATGCTGGTTATGACTACTGGGAAACAAGCAAGTACAAAAAGTTTAAACCAGCTTCCTGGAGACTTTTGTTCTGTTGTTTTTGTTTTGTTTTGTTTTTTGAGATGGTCTTGCTATGTACCTCAGGTTGGCCTTGAACTTACCGCGTAGCCTGGGCTGACTGTAAACTTGATCCTCCTGCCTCAGCTTCCCAAGTGCTAGAATTATAGATGCCTAAATGCTTTCTGGAGAGTTAAAGCTACCTGTGGTGTTCTTGTCACAATTCCTCCTCTTATACTAACACTTCTGATAATTTATTCCTAATCAACAGAAAGCAACTATGTCTAAATCCAACCTACATCAGACGCTTTTTTTGTATTTGAATTTGGGAACTAAAATGGATGAAGTAAACTTGATCCAGAATTGTTTTGAGTTTGGGTCAAAAAATACATACTTTGGGGAACAATTAATTTAGAAAGAGTTCCAGGGAAAGGTGGCTTTTCTCTGACTCCTTGACCTTATCATCCCCTTTGCCTTTCTGTTGCTGGAAGCCATCTGTTGCCCTTTAAGAGAAGAGTTCAAAGTTTGATCAGTGACTTATTGGAAATGAATCAAATAGCCACAAAATGAAAAATATAGCTAGTAAGTTACGGACCTTCCTAGCCAAAACAGCAGTGTTTATTCTGTTTTCTTTGTTTTGGATCCAGGCCACTCCCTGACCCAGTTTGTCCGCCACTGTGCGGATCATTTCCTGAACAGCGAGCACAAGGAGATCCGCATGGAGGCTGCCCGCACCTGCTCGCGCCTGCTCACTCCCTCCATCCACCTCATCAGCGGCCATGCTCATGTGGTTAGCCAGACCGCAGTGCAAGTGGTGGCCGACGTGCTCAGCAAGCTGCTCGTGGTTGGGATAACCGATCCTGGTAAAGTTTATGGACAGATGTGGGGGGGGGGGGTCTTAGCTACTTTTCTCTCATTGCTGAGACAAAATGCCTGACACCCAAAGTTAAAGGGAGAAAGGTTTATTTGGCTCATAGTTTGTAGTCCATAATCAGCTGGCTCCAAGGCAGACTGGCTTGTGGCAGAGAGGCACCTGTTCATGGGAGACAGCAAAAGCAGCAAGCAAGGAGGAGAGAAACAAGCCTCTTTCTGTCCTGTTTATTGTATCCACACTGCTGGTATTAGGATCATGCCAGTCCAGTCGGTGGACTGATGCAGCAGTCACCCACCCTTATTCCCAGTGTCCTTAATCCCAGCATTGAACCACAAGTCAGTCACTCTAAATGCAGCTACCTCTGAAAAAGCTCCATCTAAAAGTGCGTATGGCTTTGGGAGGACACCTAGATACGTATACTATACTAACAGGGAGTCAGGAGTTTGGGGCAGTGGGAAGCAGCCACTTTTATTATATGTCCTCTTTAGAGAGCTTCACCCTCAAAAAACTGATGTTCAGCTGGGGTGGTATCACATACCTATAATACCAGCACTCAGGAGGCTAGGGCAGGAGGATTACTGTGCATTAAAGACCAGCCTGGGCTACATAGTTCAAAGCCAGCCTGAATTACATAGCTAGACCCTGTCTTAAAGGGGAAAAAAAAAAAAAAAAAAAAAAGACCAAAAAGCTGATGTTCAACTATCATAAAGTAACCTATCTTTAATTCTTTTGCCTTTAGTCCTATGAAAAGAAAGGATATAAGATTAGATGAGAGGAAGGGATCCAGAGCCCACCCAGCAGGCTGGGAAAGGACTGGAGGGATGGCTTCGTGAAGAGGGGTTCAAAGGCTCCCTTGCTTTACAGACCCTGACATCCGCTACTGTGTCTTGGCGTCCCTGGATGAACGCTTTGATGCGCACCTGGCCCAGGCAGAGAATTTGCAGGCTCTGTTTGTGGCCCTGAACGATCAGGTGTTTGAGATCCGGGAGCTGGCCATCTGCACTGTGGGCCGACTGAGCAGCATGAACCCGGCCTTCGTCATGCCTTTCTTGCGCAAGATGCTCATCCAGGTAACGGGGCGACAGTCAGACCAGCTGTGGGGAGGGGAGTCCCAGTGTAAGCTTTGTGGGGAAGGAGAGTTGAGGACAAGGACTGAGATACCTGGTGAAGCCATACTTGGCTACCAGGGTCCATCTGTTTCCTGGCTTTGCAACTACAGCTCTAGGGTTGTCAGCTCGTGAGCCTCATGTCAGTGACCCCAGGGTGCTTCCGCGTCCCAGGCTAAGCTCTCATGCAGCTCTTTTCTTCCTGGCAAGGCACAGCAGTCCCTGTTCCTGGTCTCTCTGTGCTCACTTAGGTGGTGCCAGGCTGCAGCTTCTCCTGTCCTTCTACTCTCCTCTTACCCATGCCATTCAAGCCTAGAGGCCATGGTTCTTAGTAGCACTTTCGGATATGGCACCAACATTTCTCCCATAGTCCTTGACCTTGCTCTGGGGCGCTTAGCTTTTATTCTTAAATAAGGACATGCCAAGTTACACAGCAGCCCAGAGGAATATCAGAGGTTTCCATTGCTTCTAAATGTAGTAGAATGTTAAGATCCTGCTGAAAGCTGGCTCCTTGTTAGCGACATCCATTATACTCCTTCATGCCTCAACTCATTTCCATCTACCTGTTCGGGCCTCTGTGACTTCTGCCCCTCCACCCTGCCCCCACTTTGTCTCTGCTTCCTGACCCTCCTCTAGGCCTTCTTTTGAAATCCACACTTTTTATAGTATAAAAGAACCAAAGCACAGAAAATCATATATATATATAAAAAATCTTAGAGAAGTGTCATTTATTCACGATTTTCATAGTTAAAAGTACCTAAAAATTAGGCTGGCCAGATAGCTCAGTGGACTAAAGCGCCTGCTTAGACAGAGTGCAGTGGCTGGAGTTTGATCCCCAGCATGCCATGCTGGCCCTGCCCCCGGGGCATGCTGAGATGGCGATGGAGACTGGGCATGGTAGCACAGTAATAACTAGGATTATCCATGGTAATCCTGGTGCTTGGGAGGCTGAAAACAGGAGGATCACTACGAGTCCGATCTACATAGTGAGACCCTGAACACCCTGTAGACCCTGTACCAAATGCATAAAAAAAATTTTTTTAAAGTACCTAAAAATGTTAGATTTTTGAACCTATGTGTAAACATAAAGATTACATAATTTGTTATGCCTATTTTTAAAGTATATTATTTTTTAAATTTTTTTCATCATATTCTGTAGGGACTTAAAATTCAACATATCAATACTTGATGAAAAATACCTGTTCCATGTTATGCCTAAGATGTTTTGATATCTAGACAGATAGTGAGTTTAAGCTTAACAGCCTAGGTTGTATGGTAATAACAATAAGCTTCTCTTCTGGAGGGTTAACACCCTAGTTTGCAGACCAAAATTAGAGAAAAAGGAGGGCCACAAGGAAAGCCAACATTTTGACCCTAGCCTCCCAAGGTCAATTAAGACTCAGGACATATGAGAACTTGTATTGTAACGTCATGTAACTTGGTGGTGTCTCAATCTGATAAAGGAGATTATGGGGCCAAAGAAGAAAGTGATCAATGATGTAGAGTGTGCCTAAGGAGAGTCACATGGAGAGAAAACATTCTCTCAGGCTTTCACAGATTGCACATTGGCCAAGCAATGACCGTGACTCATCCACATGGCTGACACTGACAAAGGTTCTACAATCTGAGGTACAGGATCTCAAGATAAATCCTGAGGGGATTTCACTGACCTTATCAGACCCAAAAGCTACAATTCTTGTTGCATAGGTCTTGCTTTACCTTGGTCTTAACTATCCAGCAGAAAAGTATAAACATGAAGTACAAGAAGTAAAGCCATGCTGTTATGTTGAGCTGTAGGGGACTCAGGTCAACAATTTCTGACATTACCAGTGAAGCAGAAGACCCAATACTATTATGGACTACTGGACTCTTTTAGACTATTTTACTGAGTTAACACACCTATAATATTCAAATAGCGGAACTTAACAAAAAAAGGGGATACAGATGAATGTCCATTTTGTATCTGTGTATTCAAAATGGTTAGGATAGATAGTTACATTCTCTTAATGAATAGAGGGATTTGTCTTAATAGTGTTTGTAAATAGGATATCATGTCCACATCTTGTACAGCAGTTAACCACTAGGAAGAATGTATGCAATGTGTTAATTATTGAAACTGTCCTACCAATTTGGTTTGAAACTGTCTCATTGCTATTTCTCAATAAAATTATGGAAAAAAAAAAAAAAAAAAGAAGTACTCCTAGAAATTAAATGACTGAGTCAAATCACTTACATTATAAAACCTAATACCTGTGTCGAGTTCTGGTTGAATCAATTCTACCAGTTTGCACTCCTGCCTGCCACGCGTGGGAGTGTCTCTCTGTAAATCATATTTTGAACATACTCTGTTAACTAACTTTTGCTAAAAATAACTCATGGCCTTTGTTTTATTTTGTTCATTTAGTTTTTTGTTTTTCGTTTTTTTTTCCTCCGAATGCCCTCAGGGCAGGTTTGGCTGGCTGGAGTGTTGTGGGGATCGAACTACAACATCCTGAGGCTGACAGCTTTGTGGAAGCAGCCACTTAAACAACTGAGCTAAGGCCAGGCCCCCTAAAATTTTGAATCTGATTTTTTTTTTTTCTTTTTTGGCAGAACCGGGGATTGAACTCGGATCCTTGCATTTGCCAGTCAAGCGCTCATCCTACTGAGCCATCTCCCCAGCCCCTTGTTCATTTAGTTTTGTAATTTTATTGTGATAAGAACTTTTAGCATGAAATCTGTCTTCGCAACAGATTTTTCAGTGCACCATTTATAGTTATCAACAGACATAGTGGTTACCTGACTTTAGCAACCTTTGCCAACAGGATAATTGAGTGTGTACAGTACCCTCATTTCATGGCTTATGAATCTGAGTAGATGTTTGTGGATCATTTGTATTTCTTTCTACACATTTATATGTGAGTTTCCTTATGGATTTGAAGACTTGCTGATTTTCCTTTGTAGTGTTTGTAGACAGACTTAATATATTCAGACAGGATAACAATAATTCCTACTGTCATTATTTGGAGTGAAACTGATCGCTGAGTGTCTGTTTACTATACCTTTTGCATTAATGCCATCAGGGTGCTTGACCAAATGTGGCATGAGACATCGCCCCAGAACTGTTGAATTAGTTTTCACGTGAAGGAAAGTAATATGTTCCGTCAAGGAAGGACCCGTGTGCTTGCTTATGTCTGATGCTACAGCATGTGGCACAGTTTTGGCACCTCTAAGGTCTTAATAAATTTGGACTGAAATAATAAATAAATAAATAAATAAATAATAAAGTACCTAAAAAGGATAGCGTGAATCAACAAATTAAAAAATTGTATTTACATTGATGTTTATTGATATTTTTATATTGATATATGTTATATTGATATTTTTAGTCTAGTGTTTTATTTCTTTAACTGCTGGCCCATGTTAGTACTATAAAGTCTTTTAAAGATACCTAAAGCTGGGGCCGGGGAGATGGCTCAGTGGAATAAGCGCTTCCCTGGCAAGCGCAAGGGCCTGAGTTCAATCCCCGGTTCTGCCAAAACAAAACAAAAAGATACCTAAAGCTTTGGGAAGGAAAGAAGTCCTTGAGCCTTTGAGTTCAAACTGTGCTAAAATAATTTGGTACTGAAGTGTCTCTTAGTGAGGATATCAGTATGTTCACTTTTGAGCACCACTATATTCTCGGTCCTGCTGGGTGCTAGAAATGTGCCGGTGAGTAAGGCAGATGTGGCTTCTGTCCTCTGAGGTTGGCATTCAGCTCTCAGGCCATACCATTTTTTCTGATACTAGAGAGCCATTGAATGAATCTGCTATATACTGAATTAGCTTCTTGAAACTCCATTTTTTTAACTTTACTGTTTTAGGCAGGAGGATTGCAAATTTGAGCCAAGCTTGAGCAACTAACCAGCATCCTGTCTCAACATAAGAGTTTTTAAAAGGGGAGTGAGACTGGGAATATAGCTCAGTGGTAGAGCACCCCTGGGTTCTGTCCCCTGTACTGAAAAAAGTAACTTTAATAATGACTTTCTCTAATTGCCTAACACAGTCTCAGGTGTGGTAAAGGCTTTGGTTTTTGCATGGCCATTGGTTCCTGACAGGGTGCCACAGGACCCTTAGCTCAGGTCTGGCCTGCACTCCTCACGTCACTGGGCTCTGTTCCCTGTGGCACAGCTTCTTGTCAGCAGCCACCTCTTTGCTGCTGAGCATTTGGTCTTGGTGGTGTCTCTGTCTGTCTTTCACTGCCATCTCCTTTGACTGGGAGAAAATAGGTGGTCAGCAGGAGCCAGAAAATCAGAGTTATTAAATCAGTAACAAAAGATAAAAAAATTGTAGACACCTCCTGAGTAGCTGAGTTAACCTGGGCTTTGTGGTGTTCACTTCCTCGATGCTCAGAGAGATTCCTTCTGGCAACTTCAGCTTTCCAGTCTGTCTCTAGCAAGTTAGCTACATCTGTATCCCCATGAGCATAATGTGCTTGTGTTTAAGGATGTCAGAATAAACCTGTTATTTCATTCAGCAAGGCCCAAGGGGACTGTACTGATGTAATCCTTAACTCTTTGGATTTATCTGGATGTGCCCTTAATAGTTACAGAGCATCAGCATTTCTTTCAACGTCAAGCTGTCCTAAATGTTCTTTGATTTCTTTGTCATGATTGCTAGCTCTTACTGATTTGCTGTCTGCACAGGGCGTTTTCTCCCCAGGAGCACTCTCTTCATTCCTCATTTATGCAAACCCTAGTCAGCTTTCTGTGGTGGTGCTGCACTGTTAAAGCCATGCTTTTGAGAGGGCTGTGGAACTTTGGGGTGCTATGGTAGAAGGAGGAGGGGCTGGGTTCAAACCATTTTTCTTCTAGTCACAGGTGTATCCATCTAAGCCTATTGTGTTCAACTGCAGTGATGCCCATTGCTATTGAGTGTCTAGCAGTGACTCAGTCCACCAGGGAGGTCTGGTTCTTTCCCTGTTGACAGACAGACCCTCTCTGGAATGCGCTCTGCTGTACTTAGCCTTTCTTCCCTACAGATTTTGACAGAGCTGGAGCACAGTGGCATCGGGAGAATCAAGGAACAGAGCGCCCGCATGCTGGGGCACCTGGTCTCCAATGCCCCCCGACTCATCCGCCCCTACATGGAGCCTATTTTGAAGGTAACACACACTGGATGGAGACTGTTCTAATGTCTTATCTCGGTGTGGTTAGGAGGTAGAACTGCTTTACTGGTTCACTGAACAAAGATTGTTTCTTTGGCTCCAGACCTAGAGCTAAGTGCCACGTAAGCGCTTCCAGTTAGCAAATCCCCTGATCGCGCCAGCTGCAGGACGGTGTTCTCTCTCCTCAGGAGAGAAGGTACAGTGCTTCAGGCACTGATGTGCTTGCAGAGAAGTAGGTGGGGCAGCCTATGATAGCTCCCCCACAAGGAAGGACAGTGAGCTTTAAGATACGAAACAAGCTTTGGATCTGAATACAGTCAATCATGAAGTTTTTCATAACACAATTGCGTATCTAGATGATTGGCCATAGAGATACAGTTGAAAGGAGAGATGGGAAATGTCTTCCAATCGTGGTGTTTGCTAGCTCTCCAGGTATGAAACTTGTACTCTTGATGAGAACTTTGGGAATCTGCATTTTAGAAAAGACATAGATTCATAAATCCTAGAAGTAATTTATTTATAACTAAGCCTGCTGGGTGAATTTTACTTAATAAAAGAAATATTTCTCATAGATTCTAACCTGCATTCCTTTTCTCAAACCTTCTTTCCATAGGCTTTAATTTTGAAACTAAAAGATCCAGACCCTGACCCGAATCCAGGCGTGATCAATAATGTCTTGGCCACAATAGGGGAACTGGCTCAGGTATGACAGCTGGAGCACAGTGGCATCAGAGAATCTAACCTTGGAGAAAGTCAGAATACCCTTAATGCCGTAATTTCTAATCCTACCTGCTACCCTCTTTTTCACTTCAGGTTAGCGGTCTAGAAATGAGGAAATGGGTTGATGAGCTTTTCATTATCATCATGGATATGCTCCAGGATTCCTCTCTGCTGGCCAAGCGGCAGGTGCGTGCCACTGCTTGCTCCCTGAGCAGGACAGACCCCGGAAGCCAGGACCTAAGTTCTTCTTACTCAGCCCAGTATGCCCAACCAGTGTGTGCACAGTCAGTGCTTGACAGTATTTGTTGGAAAAGGAAAAACTTAGAATCCGAGTTAGCTGTCCTCTTGACCTGAAGTGACTTATAGTTAGCACCAGGGCTGAGCAAGGCCATTTCCTCTATACCAAGGAAAACGCAAATCAGTTATCAGAGCTACAGCTCCTGGAAGGAGAAAGAAAACCTTGGCTTTAGATTTCGAGGACCAGCAACTTCAGCTTATCCTTTCCTGTCACTTATTGGGTGTTTAGACTAAAATTAAGAATTATTTTAAAATAGCTCAACGGATAAAAGCGCCTCCAAGCAGGCACAGGGGCCAGGGTTTCGATCCCTGGGCCTGCCATGCCAGCCCCGCCCCCAGGGCACATAAGCAGCTGAGGCTGGGCGTGGTGGTGCACGCCTGTAATCCCAGCTCTTGGGAGGCTGTAAACAGGCAGATCACTATGAGTCTGATCTAGTAGCAAGATGCTGAATACCCTGTAGACCCTTCCCTAAAAAATACAAAAAAAAGAATGATTTTAATTTCCTTTTTGGTCTCCTGTTAGCCATTTGATACTCAAAAGAACTTTGTATTTCCTTTAAGGAAGGTGAGGATATTCTTTATTTTTTAATCCAGTGATTGTTGTAGGCTGGCACTTGACTGGCCATATTGTCATGTTCTGACTCAGGATTTCTGCTCATGGTTACTGTCTTTACTAAAAATGTCTGTTCTTAAATAGCCCTTGTCTGTCCCGGCATGAGGAAGACAGCCACGCTGTTTCTCTCCTGCTGGCTCTGTGAACCATGTGCTCTTTTGTTCATTCAGGTGGCGCTGTGGACCCTGGGGCAACTGGTGGCCAGCACTGGCTATGTGGTGGAGCCCTACAGGAAGTACCCCACCTTGCTTGAGGTGTTGCTGAATTTTCTGAAGACCGAGCAGAACCAAGGCACACGGAGAGAGGTAGAGAACACAGGATCCTGGTCTTCAGAGACTTTGCTAAGCAAGTGCAGAAAGAGAAGGTTGTGGCATCAATCGGCTCGACATCCTTTTCCATGTTGCTCATGTAGCTGGCCACTGGGGATGAATTGCGGGTTATGGAACATGAGAGGGATATCTCTGAAACCTGCTGTAATCAGATGGGGTTCTTTTTCCCCTTTCCCACCCAGGCTATCCGTGTATTAGGGCTTTTAGGAGCTTTGGATCCCTACAAGCACAAAGTGAACATCGGCATGATTGACCAGTCCCGGGACGCTTCTGCTGTCAGCCTGTCTGAATCCAAGTCAAGTCAGGATTCCTGTGAGTTGGAAGAACCAAGAGAGCCTTGCCCAGTTAGACTCAGAAAGCTCTTACTGGCCATATTTAGGGAGGGTCTTGGGCTGGATAGCAGAAATTGTAGGATACCGGCTCAGGTAGCAGCTTTTATTTTTTATTTATTATTATTTTTTTTTAACATTTATTTATTGTGTGTGTGTGTGTGTGTGGCCAGCTCAGCCCACCAGGGGGCGCGGCTGGCTGGCATGTGGTGCTGGGGGATTGAACCGCGGTCCCTGTGCTTTGTCAAGCTTGTTTCAAGTAGGTGCTTTAGACCACTGAGCCATCTCTCCAGCCCCAGGTAGCAGCTTTTAAATGAGCAGTCATCTCGTGTCTGTCCAGACCGAGTCCATACTCTCCTATTGTTATCATCACCTCTGACCATCTCTCACTCTTTCTCTGGGCCTCTTTGATGATTTTATTCCTGTGGTCCCCCAAGAATGGGAAGAATATAATTAAAGCTAGGGAGATAACTCAATGGCTTAAGTGCCTACCTGGCAAGCACAAGATCCTCAGTTTGATCCCTGGTACCAAATAATAATAATAATAATAATAATAATAATAATACAATTAAATTTAAATTCTCTGTGTCTTAATTGATAAGAAAACCCTGAGGCAAGTCTCAGGACATGGAAAAACTGTAGCTGTCAGAAATCCAGGGCTTTTTTCCATCTGAATTCTGGCCCTAGGGTCCCATTGTCCAACAAGTAGCCTGAAAAAGTGGGGCAGAGAATGGGACACAGACAAGTCTCCCGGACTTTCCCTCAGCCCACTAGGGCAGGCCTGGTTCTGAAAGTGAAGGTCCAGCACTGGCTGTCTCCACTATTCCAGCAGGATGTTATTGTCTTAAAAGAAGATAATTTGTTTCTAAACACCAAAAGTGTTTAGACCTATAGTTACCTATTTCCTTTTCCTTCTGAGTGTTAGAGAAGATAATACAAAGGCACACGTGGAACCTGAGCCTTGTCTCTCTTGGGTTCTCCCTCCCTCAGGCCCCAGTTAGCCTCCCTTGACCTGCCGTGGTCCCTGTTCTCCCCTTTTAATACTACCAGGCAGAGTCCTTGAGAGCCTGTTGTTCCGGTCAAGGAGCACATGCCTGCTATCTTGTCTGAATGCCTCTGGGGGGACCAGGCAGCTGCAAAACAGATGTTTGCCTAATTTAATTCCCTTTACTTTCATTTGGGGAAGTAATTATTTTTATTGATGGTGTTAGCTACAAAGTTGTGAACTGTAGTGCTACAAAGCTAAGTTAAATATAGCAATTTAAAGAAAAACCCGTCATGTACTGTGTTAGGCTTTAGTGGTTTGGGTAATAGGAAAGCCAAACCCGTTTGGTCTCAGATGGTGAGCCTATTCATCAGTTCCTAATAGAGCTCCTATTCCCAGTCAGGTTAGAACATATGAGGGAAAGCGTATGAATGCTGATGTCTCTGAGGAGGTTTTTTTGTTTGCTGTTAACCATACTCTGCTTAAGGTCAGAATCATGTCATGAATAGCTTATGACTCATCCTTTGGTCTTAGCTGACTACAGCACCAGTGAAATGCTGGTCAACATGGGAAACCTGCCCCTGGATGAGTTCTATCCTGCTGTGTCCATGGTGGCCCTGATGCGGATCTTCCGAGACCAGTCCCTGTCTCACCATCACACCATGGTGGTCCAGGCCATCACCTTCATCTTCAAGTCCCTGGGGCTCAAGTGTGTGCAGTTCCTGCCCCAGGTCATGCCTACATTCCTTAACGTCATCCGGGTCTGTGACGGGGCCATCCGGGAAGTAAGTGCATACAACCCCATCCTTGTTTCTCTCTGCATCGCTCCTGTGCTTCAGCTCCCCAGCACTGCGCTCTGCTTGCTGCGGACTCAGTGCCTTTCCTGCCCTTAACTTCCAACTCCCAAGTGTGTAGTTCTCAAAGATTCTGTTTTCTGACTTGGAGTCTGGATTACAGAAGTATAATTAAAAAAAAAAAAAAATCTTGGTACGTTACACAGGCTGATCTAAAACTCAGGCTTAAGCAATCCTCTTAGCTCAGCTTCCCAGCTGTCAGGGACTGTGGCCTGCCATACCTGGCTTGCAGTTTCAGACTCCTAGTGATCCTCTTGTTTTTAGCTTCCCAAGCACTGGGATTACAGGCACGCCCTCTCATAAGACACCACACCCAGTCTCAGTTGCTGTCTCAGCATGCTCTGGGGCCAGCACAGCATACCAGGGATCAAACCTCAGTCCCTGCAGCTGCCTAAGCAGGCGCTTTAGTCCGCTGAGCTATCTGACCGGCCCTTGCAGTTTATTTTTATGTGTTATACTCATGCCTGTCAACTTCATTGAATTGGTATTAATTATAATAATTTAGTGATAAATTCTCCCAGATTGTCACTTTAGATAATTATACAGTCTGACAGAAAGGAAAAACAAGAAAAGGTAGTTTCGATGTTTTCATTTTAATGTTTAAATCATTGATTACTTTTCCTTGTTGCATTTCTACGATCTCCATCACAGTGTTGGTTAGATGCAGTTGCAGTGAACATCTTTAACCTTGCTGCTGACTGTTTTTTTTTTTTTTTTTTTTTTTTTGAGGGGGAGGTATATATTTTTTTCCAGTACTGGGATTTAATCCAGGACCTCACATATTCACTTGGGTAGCAAGTGAGTATTGAGTAGACAAGCACTCTACCCAAGTTCTATTTATGTATCTATTTATTTAAAAATTTTTTTATACTAGGGATAAAAGCCCTGGGCCTTTGCACTCAGCTAGATCCCTAGCCCTTTTTTAATCTTTTATTTTTGACATAGGATCTCCCTGAGTTGCTCAGGTTGGCTCCAAACTTGTAGTTCTCTTGTCTCAGCCTCGCGAGTAGCTGGGCTTTACAGGTGCATGCCTCTCCTCCTAGTGGTAGATAGCTTTTCATCTATTGAAATGATTTTGGTTTCCTCTCCATGTGTCCATACATTGTGTTACTTTAAATGTGTAAACCACCTTGGTGATGGCGCATTTTTAACATTGATTTTATATCTGATACTTAATTTAGGACTTTTGCAACTGTGTTCTCAAACATAATTGATCTGAAGTTTTTAACAATAGGTTCAAGGATCTGCTTAGCTTTTCTTTCTCCTTTTATATAACTATTGATTTTATCTAAATGATAAAATTTATTGTCACAAAGCTATTCACACTATTCCTTTATATCATAAATTCTGACAATTCTTCGTCAGTTATTTGCCTTTGTTTTTTTTGTGTCTTTGTTTTCTATTTCATTAATCTGCTCTTTATTATTTTTCTCACATTTTCTTTGTCCTGCTTTTTTTAAAAAAGCTTCTTTTGTTGGAATTCTAGATCATTAGATGTCAGTCTTCTTTGCTAATAAAATTTGTTGGGGCTGTAAATTTCATCCCAAGTACCATTTAGTTTCATTCTAATTTTTTTTAAAAACTTGATTGAAATAACATTTACATACCATAGATTTACCTTTTTAAAATTTTTTAAAATTTTTTATTTTATGTTTTTAGTGTATTGAGCACAGGGTCTTCAGGGTCTCACTACACAGATCAGACTTGTAGTGATCCTCCTGGGATTTTTCAGCCTCCCAAGACCTGGGATTATAGGTACAAGCCACCACGCCAGTCTCAATGGCCATGTCAGTGCGCCTCGGGGTCAGGGCCAGCACAGCATGCTGGGGATTGAACCCTACTCGCTGCATCTGCCTTTCTTAAGAGAAATTCATTGGTTTTAAATATATTTATAGTATTGAGGAATCATTACTATCTAATTTTAGAATATCTAATTTTAATTAATTAATTAGTCTTTTTGAGACAGGGTCTCCCTGTACGGTTCAGGCTGGCCTTGAACTCACTTTGTAGTCCAGGCTGGTCTTGAACTCACAGCAATTCTGCCTCAGCACCCCCATCCCCACCCCCACCCCCAGTGCTGAGATTACAAGCGTGCACCACCATGCCTAACTGTAAACTTCTTTTCTATGTGCAGATGTTCTCCATTGTACCAGTCTGTGGGCAACCACTATTCTACTTTCTGTTGCTATAGATTTGCATTAAAGGACATTTCCAATAATTGGCTTTTTATTTTTATTTTTGATACCAGGGATCAAACTCAGGACCTTGTGCTTGGCAAGCAGGCTCTTAAGTCACTGAGCTATCTCCCCAGCCCCATCTCCAATAATTGAGATCATAGAATACATAATGTTCTGTGTGTAGCTTTTTTCACTTAATGAAATACTTTTAGGTTTAGCCATGGTATACCATATGTCAGTAGTATTTTTTCTTTCATTGCTGAATAATAATGTATGTTCATTATTGTTCAGAAGCAAATATTTTCTAACGTTTGTTGTGGTCTCAGCTTCACTCTTGAGTTACTTAGAAGTGAGTATTTTATTTGCAAACTGAGGTTTTAAATTTCTCTTTGTGATATTGATTTCTTACTCAATAGCATTGTGTTTATGATTCTTTGATATTTGCTGAAACTGCTTTAATGGTCTAGTGCTTGATCGATTCTCCTAAATTTCCTGTACACTTGGGAATTATGTGTATTTGCTAATGTTATGCACAGGGTCCTGTGTATATCATTAGATTGAATTTATTACATACTGTGTTCAAATCTTTTCTATTCTTGTTACTTGGAGGCATTTGGCTGAATCTGTTCATTACTGATCTGTCAATTACTGAGAGAAGTAGGTTAAATCTCTTATGATAGATTTATTAATTTCTCATAGGTCAGCCTATTTTGATTTATGTATTTTTAACATTATTATTAGGTGAATGCAAATTTAGAATAATTTCTTCTTTGTAAATTGAATCTTTCATTATAAAATGAATCCTCTTTTGAGAGAGATCTTATATTGCCCATGCTGGCCTTAAGCTTGAGATCCACCTACCTCAGCCTCTCAAGTTGTGGGGAGTATAGGCATGTGCAGTACTGTTGGCAAAATAACACTTTTTATTTTGAGTAATACCCTAACATTTATTTGCCTGATATTAATATAGCTATACCAGTCTTTTTGGGAAGAGTATATATGTCCTGCCCTTTTACTTTTAACTGGGTTGTGATTTTGTTTTGGATGGATCTCTTACAAATACATGATAGCTAGATTAAATTTTTCTTTTAAGCAGTTCTCAAAATAATCAATTCCCCCCCATCCTCTACTGACAGATTGTGCTTTTTTTTTAGCATTACTAGAACTCTTAGACACATACATATATGGAGTGTGCGTGTGTGTGTTAGCTTTTACTTTTTGTTTAACTTTTTTTCCATAATTTTATTGATAAACAAATAGCAGTGAGATAGTTTCAAATCAAATTGGTAGGACAGTTTTAATAATTAATACATTGGGCTGGTGAGATGGCTCAGTGGTCTAAAGCACCTACTTAGAACAAGCTTAGCTAAAGCGCAGGGACCGTGGTTCAATCCCCCAGCACCACATGCCAGCCAGTCCCGCCCCCTGGTGGGCTGAGCTGCCACACACACACACACACACACACACACACACATAAATAAATAAATAAAATTTTTTTAAAAAAAGCTATAACCTGAATTTTAAATAATAATAATAATAATAATAATAATAAATACATTGCATACATTCTTCCCAGTGGTTAATTGCTATACAAGATGCGGACATGATATCCTATTTACAAACACCACTAGAACAAATCCCTCTTGTTTAACTTCTTAATACTTTAAAACTGTTATTCGGTCCAATTGCATTTACTGTAATTGCTGATATACTTGGATTTACTTCTACCGTTCCTTTTTTTTTTTTTTTAAATGTATTTAGTACAAGGTCTACAGGATCCTACTACATGGATTGGATTTGTAGTGATTCTCCTGTTTTCAGCCTCCCAAGCACTGGGATAATAGGCACATGCCACCATACCTAGTCTCAAATGTCTCAGCACACCATCTCAGCACACCAGCAATTCGAACCCTGGCCTCTGTACTACCATCCTTTTTTTTGTGACCCTACTCTTTTTTTTTTTTTTTTTCTTTTTGGCGAGGGGAAAGGGTCTACAGGGTATTCAGAGTCTCACTACTAGATTGGACTCAGGGGCTGGGAGATGGCTCAGTAGAATAAGGGCTTGCCTGGCAAGCACAAGGTCCCGAGTTCAATCCCAGGTTCTGCCAAAAACAAAACATAAACAAAAATGACTATCCTATGGGGCTGGAGAGATGGCTCAGTGGTCTAAAGCACCTACTTGGAACAAGCTTGGCAAAGCACAGGGACCGCGGTTCGATCCTCCAGCACCACATGCCAGCCAGCCGCGCCCCCTGGTGGGCTGAGCTGGCCACACACACACACACACACACACACACACACACACACAATAAATGTTAAAAAAAAATTAAAAAAAAAAAATAGATTGGACTCGTAGTCATCTGCCTGTTTACAGCCTCCCAAGAGCTGAGATTACAGGCGTGTGCCACCACACCCAGTCTCAATTGCCTTCTCAATGTGCCCCAGGGGTAGGTCTGGCATGGCAGGCCCAGGGTTCGAACCCCCGGCCCCTGCGCCTACTTGCAGGCACTTTAATCTGCTTACCTATTTGCATGGCCCTACCATCCTTTTTAATTTTTTTAAGACAGAGTCTCACTATGTAGTTTAGGCTGGCCTTAAACTCTCACTAATCCTCCAACCACAACATCCGCATGCTAAGATTATAGGTGTGAGCAACCATACCCAGCTACCATTTTATCTAGTGTTTTCCTCTTGTCCTGCCTTGTCTTTTTTAGCTTTATTGCTGTTTTCTATTTTTGTTTTTGTTTTTTTACT